ACACATATTCCTGCTTTTGATCCTTTGCAAAAGCTTTTCCTTCTCTCTCGAATAAGCTTCTCATATAACCACACAGCTAATTCTTTTTCTCTCTCTCAAGTCTTGGCTCAAATCTCACCAAAGTGAGGTCCAATCAAACTACTATATTTAAAACGGAAATCTACAATGATTATTTAGTATGTTTACATTATTTACTGACCTTACTAGTACATAAACGACAAAAGAATTTCAAAAATTCTCGCCCTAGCTGGTTTGGCTCAGTGGATAGAGCATCAGCCTGTGAACTGAAGGGTCCCGGGTTCAGTTCGATTCTGGTCAAGGGCACATGCTCAGGTTGCCAGCTCCATCCCCTGTAGGGGGAGTGCAGGAGGCAGCCAATCAGTGATTCCCTCTCATCATTATGTTTCTACCTCTCTCTCCCCTCTCCCTTCCCCTCTGAAATCAATAAAAATGTTTAAAAAAATTCTGTTTCTGACCATCTTATTTTAAATCGTACTCCCCCCATACAAATGGCACTCCAAAAACTTTCTATCCTACTCTACTTTTCCTTTTTTCCCATAGCACTTACCAACTTCTAACCTACCATATAATTTATATACTTATTATATATTAGTCTGTCACCCCTTACTATTATATAAACTTGATAAGGACAGGGATCTTTTGTCTATTTGTTCATTGATTTAACCTAAGCATTTAAATTACTTTCTGGTGTTCATCCACAGTGGCTCAGTTGGTTGGAGCATCGCCCCATGCACTGAAAGGTTGCATGGCAGGCAAGGGATCAATGTTTCTCCCTTTCTCCCTTTCTCCCTTTCTCCCTTTCTCCCTTTCTCCCTTTCCCTCTCTCTCTCCCTCTTACCCTCTCTGGGCATGTCCTTGGGTAAAGATATGAATAAACAAACAAACAAACAAACTTCCTGGCATATAATAAGTTCTTGAAATATACTTGCTGAATGAAGGAAAAAAAGAATGAAAATCATCACTTCATCATTTGTAGTAGATTCCACCAAATCCACTAACTGTTTTAATAAAAGACCATGAAACATATTTTCAGAACCATTACAATATTATGTTATTTTTATGTTCAGGCAGATTAAATATAAATATATGTGTATAGTTAAAGATACATAGATATACAGGTGTAGATATAATCTTCTACTGTAATGTACATAGGTTTAATCCTAGAATTGTAATAGGGTAACCTTGGGCAAGTTTTAAGCCTCCATCAATTCTTTCATATATAAATTGAGGAGTTTTAAGTTTGCTTCAGAAAACTATGGCTTTTTACTTATCAAATACTTATGGGAAAATATAACATGATCAATTATGACTTTAAAAAGTGAAATATATTACAGTGTATTAAGTATATTCTAGCAAATAGAAAGCAGTAAACACATCAACCAAAATTTGGGGAGAAAAGTTTGAAAAAAGTATAAATCAAAAGAACAATTTTCCTATAGATATTAAGAAATTGATATACACCCATATCCTCTTCTGTAACTCCATAATTTTAATAGCTTTTTTTGGAAAAAGAAATATATTTCATGTAAACTGTGTGAGATGTATTAATTTCAGAAATATTAAAAATGATTTTTTTAAATGTGCTTTAGAATGGAGGAAACACTGAAGAATAGCAATAGTCATGATTATTAAGAGCTTTTTAGCAAAGGAATATTGTGATCTGTGCCATGTAGTATTCAAAATGTTTTAGAGATTATTAATTTTAATTCTCACCATAACCACATAAACTGGGTACCATTATTACCTTCTTTTCATAGATAAACAAAAATAGGTTACAAAATTTAAGTAAGCTATCCAAGGTTGTCAGCAGATATGCTCTGAGGTTTTGCTTTTGGTGTCTACATTAGACTGATGATAGAAAGACATGCTGCAGGAAGAACCAAAATGCAAGGAGTCTCCTCCTTAACTTTGAATTTCAATAGATTACTTATATTGTTATTGTCTTTTCACATACGGTAACAAATCCAACGAACTTCTGACCTTCTCCATGTATCAGTGAAAAATGCCCTGGCACCTTAGGGAGTCTTAAGCTTATACATTTTGCTCATATGTTCTTTTTCTAAATCCTCTTGATAAGTCCATTAAGTTACTCTTGCTAGCAAACCACCCTTCTTTTCTCCCTCTTCCTTTTTTTCCTTTTTAACAGTGTAACAGCTAAACCCAATGCTTTATATTTCTGCAGAGGGTTTCCTATTATTAGTTGGACTTGATGACACTTCTTGAGGATAATTTTCCCCTCAGCAACTGAGAATGTAGGTAAAAATCAGAGGCTCAGGATTAACAATTTTGTCAGTTTTCATCCTTAAATCTATGTAATATATAGTCAAAACTGTTTTTTTTTCCTTTGGATAATATGTGTATTTATATATGTGTGCACCCCATTTACTAATAATAGCCAAATGTTTTTTAAAAATTATTTTTAATTTCTTGCTTATTTGAAATAGGTGTTTTCTCTAGTTATTTATTGATTTTTAGATTTCTATAAGAAATTTTAATTCATGAATTAGTTGCTTAGATAGGCTTTTTAAACCAGTGAGATTGAAATAGTTTTCTTTATTCAAACCAGTAATGAGTCTTAACTAACTGCTTTTTAAATAGAATGACAAAAATTAAGAAAATTTTATTATAATTTAGTTTTCTTACTTCTTTGCTCTTTGCAACTTCTGCAATAGCAGCAGTCCTTTGCTTTTCAAATTCATCATTATCACTTGGGGGTTTGACAGGCATTGTAACTTGCAGGGTCTTCCTTCGATCAAGTTCTCTGCTATCCATTTGGACATTAGACACACACTTCTGATAATAATAAATAAAAATTAATCACGTCAGTAGTTCCCAGATTCAAGGTTTACATAACAAAGTATTACTTCTTCAAAAAAAGTCTGTATCTTAATAACTGAGAACCCATAAAAATAAAATTTTCTATTTAAAAATAAAGGTAGAAAACTGATTAAAGTAACTTTTAAGTAAGTGTAACTGGTAAATAAAATGAAAAGCTTCACAAAACCCTCCCACGACCTAAGTTTCATTTTAGGATAATGACTTAAAATAATTTAAATTTCAAACAGTCTGGACCACTGCACAACAAAAGGTAAAATTCAGATTTTTATTCAGAGCTTGATTTACACATTATGCCACAATATCCTTATGAGGATTAAGTAGTATAGCTATTTTAACATATAAAAAGAAGTCTCTGAACTTATAAACCAAAAGCTAAAAGCATACCCTCTTCCTCAATCAAGCTGCAAAATTTATTTTTAGTCTCATAAATTGAGAAAGTCATCACTGCCTAAAAATAAGTCCAATCATAGCAGTAAAAATCCTATAAAATAAACCTTTTCTCAACTCATTAATAACAGTAAGAAAACATGCTCTCAAACAAATGTTACACAATTACAGATTTTTATCAATATAAATATGTCCTGTTGATACCAGTACACAGCTAGCATTATCTACCTTTAACCCTATACAAGTCTAAGAAAGATATGCTGAAAAGAATTTTTCATAATGGACTATAGAAACAAGTATTATTAAAACTATAACTTTTATTATACTTCCTAAGACAAAAAAATCATTAAACATTCTTCAAGATCTTGAAAATAATTAAATCACAAGTCTCTTAGCAATTTCTGAAAGAAATATTATCACCAAAATATTTAAGAGAAAATCAAATTCTTACAAACATATCATTTATCATTTTCAAATACAAATTATTAGAATATTTATACCATTTTGATTCTGGGTGTTTTTTTATTATACTGGTAGAAGTGAGAATATCATCAACATAGATCACACCAAAGGGCATCATGCCTCTTTTTATCTTGACTGTGCCTTGTTGCGAAGCACAATAAAAATTAACGTATTTTTAAAAATACTTTCAAAATAGACATGATGTAAGAATGATTCCATTTAATTTTGAGTAGACTCCACATACAGGTTTTTGAAGAGGCGTGCATCTGATCCTACCCATTTATCTTCAGATCAGCTAGTTATCTTTTTCACACACAAAAAATTTTTAAAATTGTTAGAGAGATCCAGGTTTCTGTTTCCTACCTATTGTGTCCCTAACTCATCTTCAGTACTCTCAAAGAAAAATAAGGAGCACACACAAGGTAGAATACTGAAAGCTAAATTTTGGTGGCAACATGTGGCAAAAAGCAAGCTGTCACAGAGATTATTCTCAGACTCTTCAGGAATAAAGCAAGAACAGGCTAGAGGAGGCTGTTCTGAATGCAGTTTGATGCTGAGCACAACCATGGAGACATAAGGTACCAGCTGAGGAGCTGTACCTCAGGGTAACATAGCAGCAAGGGGGGCGAAAAATAGGAAGGAGACAGAAAGCCTTTGGCTTATATAAGAGAAGGATCAGGGATGCTGTGGTTGAAAGGAAAATACCAACTGAAAATAAAATTACATTCCTGACTAACAAAGGTATTTGAATCAAAGCAGAAGAATAGAATTTTTAAAAGGGAGGCCTGGGACAGCAGACTCTGATACAGTGCAGTGATGCCCCTTCCTGCCTCTTTGGTCCTCACTTCTTTGTCTCATCCTTCTGTTGACACTTTTATTTTCTCTCTCCCTCTTTTGTTTTAAATTTAAAAAATGAGAAATTTTAGCATATTTTTTTTCTTTTGCATTTCTCTCTCTCAAAAAAAAAGCCCCACCACCATCTTATCTTAATTAGTTATTAGTTGCTCTTCAGGTGTGCTTCTTAATTTTTTCAATCTTTGGGTTAACAGTTCTTGATAAAATCAATTTAATTACAGTGAATAAAAAAAACACAATTACTAAATTCCTTTACTGAATATATTTCCATATAACACCATGACTTCTGAATGAATAGTTCAGCACAAAGCTAAACACAGCTTGAATACAGATGGAAAACACTTTTTGCTGATTAAAATTCATCTGCCAACATAAAAGTCATTACCTGTCCAAAAGGCACAAAAGGAGGTGGTCCACCTTCAGTTCCAATATTGCTTCTATTGTGTTTTGACAAGCTCTGTGAGAAAAGTGAGTCACAAAATAGAAATTATACATAAAAAATATATTTCCAACATTTACAGTACACCAGGACTCTACTTATTTTAATACATTCTTATAACACACACACAGAGAGAGAGAGAGAGAGAGAGAGAGAGAGAGAGAGAGAGAGAGAAATTTTCTATAAAATATTTCAAACTATATAAAATATTTTATTCCTAACTTCAATAATTAGGTAAAGGCCCTTTCCTAATCTCCCCATACCAGACACACATTCACGCTCTAGCTGGTTTGGCTCAGTGGATAGAGAATCCACTGGAGGGTCCTGGGTTCGATTCAGGTCAAGTGCACATGTCCAGTTGCAGGCTCGATCCCCAGTGGGGGGGCATGCAGGAGGCAGCCGATCAATGATTCTCTCTCATCATTGATGTTTCTATCTCTCTCTCTCCCTCTCCCTTCCTCTCTGAAATCAATAAAATATATATATATATTAAATTAAAAAAATACTTCTATAAAAAAACAAACACACATTCACAACAGTTTTTAGAAGTATTTACCAAGCTACTCCTACAAGAACAAAACACAGTAAAAAGCCCTCCTCAGCAAGTAGCAAATTCAAAGATAACAGACTTTGGTAAAAATTTTACTTTAAAGCATATTAAAACTAATTTTAGACATAAAATCTATTAGCAAACAACATACTTGTTATATTGCAATATACTAAGAAATATTTATTTGGTCTTTGTCCCCAATTCTTGGAACAGAGTTCAGAAGTGTAACTAGAAACAGTTTATGGGAATACTGATGACAGTGATTTGCAATTATTTAAAGAGATCATATTGTTACATTTCATAATATGCTAATTACTTCCAATTACAAAAAAAAACATCCTTAATAAAGATGTGGTTTAACTGGAATACCTTCTTGTGCCAGATATATGGAACAAGTTGAAGATTTGATGATTCAAAAAACAAAAGACAAACAAAAAAGACTTGTTTAAAAAATCAATTTATATTTTGACGAATATTTTAAATAACTGAATGTTATTTAATAAAAATAAGCTTCCAAACTCTAATAATTTTGCTTTCTTTTTTCCCTATCTCTCATATTTAAAATTAACAATGTATTAAGCAAATGGGAAAAATATTTTCCTTGCAGAGGCAATTCCTCACATTATAAATTCCTTTGAATGTCATGAGGAATTTTCAGAAGGATGGACTCCTTGAAGCCATCCATTCCTCCTGTTTCATTTTGAGATGTTAACATATATCTGTTAAGCACCAGCTATCATTTAATACAGCTTCTTAACTGTAAGCTTTTCCGTACATTTTTAGTAATTATCATTATAGAAAATGTCAACTGTGTTTTTACACCATTATACAAAAATTAACTCAAAATGGATCAAAGACGTAAATTAAGAACTAAACTCATAAAAACTTCTAGAAGAAACCAGGGGGAGAAAGCTTTATGACTTTGGATTTAGATTTGGTAGTAATTTCTTGGATATGACACCAAATGCACAAGTAACAAAAGAAAAGAAAAACAGATAAAATTGAACTTCATCAAAATTAATAACTTTTGTGCATCAAAGGACACTACCAACAGAGTAAAAAGACAATCCCTGAAATGTGAAAAAAATACTTGCAAATTACATATCTGAGAAGGAACTGATATCTAGAATATACTGAGAAGTCCCACAACAGAAAAGAAAACTGATTTAAAAATTAGCAAAGGACTTAAATCGATACTTCTTCAAAGAAGATACACAAATAGACAATAAGCATACGGAAAAAATAGCAAGAGTTGGCAAGGATGTGGAAAAATTGGATCCCTTATATATTACTGATGAGGATGTAAAATGGTGATGTCACTGTGGAAAACAATATGGTAGTTACTAAAAACAAAATTATACTATAAATTATGATTCCTCAATTCTACTTCTGGGTAAATGCCCAAAAGAAATGAAAGCAGAAACTTGAACAGATATTATCTTCATAATAATTGCATTATTCACAATAGCCAAAAGGTGAAAATAACCCTAATGTCATCAGTGGATAAATGAACACAAAGTCACACACACACACACACACACACACACACACACACACACGCGCACACGAATATTATTTGGCCTTAAAGTTAGGAAATTCTGACATGCTACAATATAAATAAAACCTAAAAGACATTATGCTAAGTGAAATAAGCCAGACAAAAAAGATAAATATTGTATGATTCCACTTACATAAAGTACCTAAAGTAGTCAAATTCATAGAGAGAAAAAGAAGAATCATGGTTGCCAGAGATTGGGAGTAGGTGGGGAATGAGAAGTTAATGTTTAATGGGTACAGAATTTTAGTTTGGGAAGATACAAACCATGTTCTTTCTTTTCTTCACCTGTATGTAATCAACTTGCTACAACTACACCACCTGCATATGATTTAAATATTGTTCAATGTTCTCTTCCCCTATTTATTTTACAAGAATATTCAGGGTTTCTTTAATTCCAAAATTCTCTCTATGGATTATGATTTCTATGTGTGCACTTGGTTTCAGTGTGTACTACCTGCCAGATGTTCAAGTAATTGAACTCTCCATGGTTTCTACATTGCTATGGTTACCAAATCAAAAAACTATAAAAGGATAGAGAATTATAATTACAGTAAAATGTTTTTAAACTTTTTAATGTAAACTTTTATTGCTTCCTAACAAGAAATACTAACAGGCTTTAGGAAACAAAGTGCAAAGATACATAATAAAACATTACAAGGACAAGTATGAAACTACTATTAATCTCTCTCTGTGTGTGTCTGCGTGTGTGCGTGTGTGCGTGTGTGTGTGTGTGTGTGTGTGTGTTTGGTATACAGGAAGTTCCTAGAATGTTTAACAGAATTTTCAGTCAGTGAAGTAATTTTGGTTGGATTGGGAAAATTATGTAAGATGTTGGTCTGACTTAAGAACATCTTACCACATTTTTTAAAATTTTTAATTGTAATAAAAACTAGAGGCCCGGTGCACAAAAATTTGTGCACTTGGGGGGATAGGGGTCCCTCAGCCCAGCCTCCCTCTCGCAGTCTGGGACGCCTCGAGAGATAACAACCTGCTGGCTTAGGCCTGCTCCTGGGTGGCAGAGGGCAGGCCCAATCCCTAGGTGCAGCCCTGGTCGGTCTCAGAGCAGGGCCAATTGGGGAGTTGGGGCGCCGCCCCCTGTCATGCACAGAGCAGGGCCAATCAGGGGG